CACCACCACCACCACCCCACCCCTGAACCCTGCCTGCTTTTCCTGGAGGCAGCTCCTTCCTCTCCACATGATCCTGCCAAGACTCAGCTGTCCCACCAGCAAGGTAGTCCTGGGGAGACTGGGGGGCACCCTGCCCTCCTCCCCACTCGAGACCAGCTCACCCTCACCCAGACTTGGCCAAAGACCAGAGACTGTGCCTGAGCCTCCAGCCAGGCACAGCTACTTGGGAGCAGGCTGGGGTGCCATGGGGGTGGGGTGGGGGTGGGGCTCCTGGCTCACGGCTCTGGCCCTGCTTCCAGACATCCCGGAGGAGGAGGCACGCTACTGGGCCAAGAAGCTGGAGCAGCTGAACGCCCTGAGGGACCAGGACGAGGTGAGTCTTGGGGGTGGGGGTGGGAGGGCACTCCATCCTGCTGGGCTCCTGGGCCAGGCTGTGCCTCTACGTGCCCCTCTCTCCGTTTCCCTCTCAGCTGGCCTTTCTCTCTGGTCTGTGTCTTTGTGGCCCACGTGGTCCAGTCTCCAAGCAAATTAGACGATGCTGAGATCGCACAAGTACATCATCCACATTACACTTGCAGACAACCCAAAGTCAGCGTTTGCCAAAGGCCCTTTTCAGCCCCTCCTTCTGCCCTCATGCCCCTTCAGGGGACACACACACCGCAGACATTCCTAACAGTGTCCCCCCTGTGCCTCTTCTTCCTCTATGCTAACCCCTTTCTTCTTGGCCTATGTCACTGCAATGTGGAACCCCAGTGCCGCCCAGAGTGAGAACAGGGAGGAAGTGGGTATGGCCAGAATGTCTGATACTGGGAGGCTCAGGGCAGAGGGACAAGCCAGCCAAACCAAGGCAGCTGCCAGAGCATCCGAGCCGGGCTGTGTGCCACAGGCTCTTTGATGGGAGAATACCAAGCCTTTCTTCCGAAACATCTCTGGGTGAACCCAAGCCTCTGACCTTTTAGTTAACAGCCAACCACACTAACCGCTGGATCACCCAGGGTCAGTAGTCTGTGGCTGTTATATAATCTCCTATGAACTTGAGTGAAGGGGTGGAGTCTAGCCTGTCAATCATGTCTTAGCCAATTGGCCTTCTCCTGGGGATTCTGGGAACTCCTGTCTTCCCCCTGTTGACAAGCCACATAGAGACCCACTGATAGAGCCAGAGCCCTGGAGCTGGAGGAGCCACGTGGAGACCCACGCCAAGGCTGGCATGCTTCCACCGCCACTAGATCCGCAAGACTTTCCACTGGCCTGTGATCTTCCTGCATTCAGCATCATTGCATGGCTGTGTGAGTCTGAAGAGGAATTTATGGACTAGTAGCAGACATGTGGGCTAATATCAGACTTGCGGACTTGATCTGGGCTGGACTGGGATGTTTCTCACTGTGCAATTGCTCTTTGATAGAAAGTTCTGTCTTACACATATCTGTGTGACTCTGGATTTGTTTCTCTAGTCAACCCGGACTAACACACGGTCACTCACAGCAACCCTAGGGTACAGGCTAGGGTTGTGAGTTGCCGGGGCCATCAATCTTTGTTATTGTTGTTGTTTTTGTTAGGTGTTATTGAGCCAGTTCCAGTCCATCTTGACCCTCTGCACAACAGAACAAAACACTGCCCAGTCCTGCACCAGCCTCACCATGGCTCCTAGGCCGGAGCCCAGGGTTCCAACTATTGTGACAATCCATCTCCTTGAGGGTCTTCCTCCCCCGCCCCCGCCCCCCCACTTTACCAAAGATGACGTCCTTCTCCAGGGACTGGTCTCTCCTGACAACATGTCTGAAGTGTGTGAGATAAAGCCTTGCCAGCCTTGCCCCTAAGGAGCATTCTGGCTGTACGTCTTCTAATAGATAGGCTTGTCCCTTTAGTAGACCTTGGTACTTTCTTTCCTTTTTTTTTTAATCGTTTTATTAGGGGCTCCTACAACTCTTATCACAATCCATCCATCCATCGTATCAAGCACATTT